AGTGAGAGGCCCGCATAACGCAAGGAAAAAAAAAAAAAAAAAAAAATATATATATATGTGAAAATGTGTTTATATGGGAATATGGTAACTTTATAATATTTTTTAAAATCTGGAAGCATTCTTTAATTTGATCAAAAAGCTTTTACATTTCTTTTGTACAAAGGTTTGTTGAAGTAAAGACAATAAACATGAGTTAATTTGTCATTCCTTTACAACACTTCATTGTGGACCACTTCCTTGTATAGTGGTGATATAAAACAAGTATAAAAGGTACTCTCAATAGATGTCTATATACATTTTAACTATGAATATTTTTCCCCTGAAATCCAACCGTTTTGGTTATTTAATGTTGAGAAACTACCCCAAAATTTAGAAGCTCAAAGTAACAACCATTTTATTATATGTTCATGATTCTGATGTGTGGGCAGTGCTTGGAGGGATTAGCTTGTCTCTTTTCCCTGTGGTGTCGTCTGGGGCGTTTCAAATGTCTGGGGACTGTTGGAATGGCTTGAAGTGGGTCATAAGCCTGGAGTCTCTGTTCTCAAGGTTTGCTGGATTCCTCAGTCATCCTCCATCTGATTTCTTCTTGTGTTTAGTTAGCTTGGGTTTCCTCACACCATGGTGATCTCAGTTTAGTTGGGCTTCCCAGAGCACTAAATGCTTAGTTGCCAGGCAAACTCACAAAGTTTAGGCTTGTTACTGGCACAGTGCCATTTTTGCTGCATTTTATTGGTTAAAGCAGGTCATAAGGCCCCAGACCAGATTCAGTGTGGGAGGGTACTCCAGGAGGGCATGAATACTGGAAGACAGGGTTCTTTGGGGACCACCCTTCGAGGCTAGCTACTACATCAATGTTTATGAAAGAATTCCATAAACATTAAACAGAATCAATTTCCTACGAAATGACTGAAAGCAAAGGAATGCTCAACTTAATTGTCTTTCACTATACACAAGTCTACACCCAAATCTTTCTACTTTTTCCATGATCTTCCCCAAATATGCCTCATTCAAATTCTTTCAGCACCGCAGTCTCTTCATTAAGTCCTAGCATGAATCTCATATAAATTAAACACTTCCAGATGTTTGAATTCCAAAAACCAGAAGAATTAACATATAACTAATTTAATCTATATATTTGCTTAAGTTGCCAACTTTGTAATTTTAAATTTCCAGGTGAAAAACATTAAAAAAACTGTACCATTTACTATTACTCTTGCTTCTTAAAGGAAAATACATTTAGTTTTTTTAAAAAGTAGTCAAGAGAATTTCAGATTGAAAGACAGTCTTAAAGTAGAACAGCTTCCTTTATGAACAACTCCACCAAGGACGGCCACTGGTTCTTGGACCCAGTGTTTGGGAACCTCTAGTCAAGCCACTGTTATTGAACACTACCAAGATCCTTTTTATTCACACCTTTCTAAAATCATTTCACATCTTTCCCT